TATTTTATTTTTCACATTTAAGTATTGTTTCGAGACTACCAGTTAATCAGTAGTATGAGATGTATTTACCCAATTTCGTTTAAGGTGATGAAGGACTGGTAGAAGAATTTCGGGAAAGCAAGGCTATGTGAAATTGAATGGAAACATCGGCTCTACTTATCTGCTTGTGTGAGAATTCTTCTACCAGTCCTTCATAACCTTAAACGAAATTGGGTGAATATATATCATACTACTGATTTACTCGTAGTCTCGTAACAATACTTAATGCAAAAAATACTGATTATTATTTTTCACATTTAAGTATTGTTTCGAGACTACCAGTAAATCTGTACTATCAGGTGTATTTATCCTATTTCGTTTAAAGTTATGAATTACTGGTTGTAGAATTTTTCCACATTGGATTTTATAGAGCTCTGATTTTCCCAAAGTTGTTCAGCCTGGATGTAAACACCTTTTGGGAAAGCAAGGCTATGAGAAATTCGAGAGAAATATACGACTTCGTCTACTCACTCAGAAATGTTGAGTTTACTTCCATTTCGAGTGAAAGTGTGCGCTGAAGAGATTCGAAGGTCAGTTCCACCAAAAGACGACGGCCGATTCCTCTTGACCGGCTGTCGATTGGCTTTATATGAACATTCATGCTGACGCTGTATTCGAGGCAATCTTCTGGTGAAGAGGTGCTAATCTTTCGTCTGTTAAATGACAAACATTATCAGAGCACTGCATCCTCGTCACAACCAACTTCAAGTTAACGAGTCAAGCAAACAGCTTTTTAAGAATTTCCAGATGAGTTTTCTTTGCTCGTTAGCTTGAATTTCGTTGTGACGATAATACCCTCCTTGCTCTGATGATGCTCGTCCAATGACGGACGATAGCTTAGCACCTTTTCACCGAAATCGAATGAGATTACCCCTCGGAAACAGTGTCAGCATGAATGTTCCAGTAAAGCCAATCGACAGCTGGTCAAAAGGAATCGCTTGTCGTCTTCTGGAGAAACCGATCTTCTATTCTTTTCACGCAACACTTTCACTCAAAATGGAAGTAAACTCAACAATTATGAAAAAAGAGATTCCTCAAAACCCAAATTTTCTTTGCATACTCACTTAGAGACAGTATAAGTCAATCCCAGCCTCTGACTTATTGTGCGTCACCTTCACTCATCACGTCAGTGTCGACACTCTGTGCCGCGATCGTGAAGAAAAGGTTTCAATTGTCTGCCTTAATTCTCAGGTCACTGTCGCCATCGAAGGTGAGACAAAAACATGTCATTCAGGTTTAGTGACTCCAATCCACAACTCTATCGATTAGTCTGGCCTCAGAAACTCAGCAAAGAGGATAATGCTGGGCTTGTGTTGGCGCCATCAGGAATTTCAGTGTTTAGTAGAAACATAATTTCTTCAAGAACACGATCTGAACTGATGCAAATTCAGTTGCATCAGGTTAGCATAGAACCTTTACAATTTCACGATTCTTCTGTCTCGTCAACAGTTTCTGTAGATTAAAGTTAAAGATGTACAGAGGTTGTTCGATCTTGTTTTCACAACATGTTCATATTGGTAGGAAGACTTAGAGGAACGTACATAGTCTTGAGTCCATTGTATGATACATTATTTCCAATGTTGGACAGTGGACGTGGTACATTCCAAAACAGCCAATGGATTCCGGACTATGTGCGTTCCTCTAAGTCTTCCTACCAAAATGACCAAGTTGCGAAAAGAAAGTCAAACAACTTCCATACAACGAAAGGACACTGCGAGCACACAAAATGACAATGCATCTTGATTTTCATACCTTCGATAAAACATATATTTTATTCGGAGGTATGAAGACCAAGATGATGTGGTCCAAGTCTTCCTACCAATATGACCGAGTTGCGAAAACAAGTTTAAACAACTTCCATACAACGAAAGGACACTGCGACCACACTAAAGTACACAGCTTCTTGGTTTTCATACCTTCGATATCACATATACCTTAATCGGTGGTATGAAGACCAAGATGGTGTGGTTTAATTCTTCCTACCAATATGACCGAGTTGCGAAAACGAATTTAAACAACTTTCATACAACGAAAAGAGACTGCGACCACACAAAATGACACATCATCTTGGTCTTCATACCTTCGATAAAACATATATTTTAATCGGAGGTATGAAGACTAAGATGATGTGGTCCAATTCCTACTACCAATATGACCGAGTTGCTAAGACAAGTTTAAACAACTTCCATACAACGAAAGGACACTGCGATCATACAAAATGACACACCATTTTGGTCTTAATACCTTCGAGTAAAGATGTACAGTTCAAAGATGGTTGACCCTCGAAGGGAGATTTGTGTCTCGGTTAACGAGCACAACCTGAACGGGATAAGGATGAACATTCAGCAACCATTTTTTTCGAGGCTGTCGATTAGACGTGACCAAGATCCCTTTTCCGCTTAGATCATGTCTTCACCTGAATCCGCACGCCAATGCTTCAAACCTGATGGTTACATGATCCAGTAGGGCTTATTTGTGGTGATATGAGGCTACTGATGTTAGCATACATTTTATTTTGTTTGGCCGCACCGCAAACCGAACACCAAAAGACGCATTTTCTAAATTAGCCTAAATCAGATCATGCGGTACATGACAACAATTGATCCAGATCATGCGACGTGAGGCCGACGATCTATTTGCACAAATTTACAGTCGCAGCTTGAGGCGATTCTTCTTCGGCGTATAATGAGGCCAACATTCGAGTCCCTTCCAGTTGCCAATGGAGACTTTGGTGACCAGTCACTTCACGACCAACATACCAGAAGTGTTTGCACTTGGAAAAACAGCTCTTCTGGAGGTTGTGACTTACGGCTTTTAGCAATTTTGGAAGCATTGTGTCGACCTGGTTGAACTCCAACTGCACAATGTACATGAATCTATCGCCGATCCTTGACGCTTCACTGATGAGACTCGATAGACTGGCAACCGTTGCCAGATCCGGAGCAATCAATATCATGTATGGTATGCTGCCAAGCTTGCTTGTTAGCATGTTCAGGCCTAGATGAAGAAAAAATGCAATGAGTCATCATTAAGCTGTAGAAGAGTTTCACTGATGCTTTTGTGTAGATCCTAGTCTACAGACTGAAGCATAAGCTGGGTCTTCCTCGGTCGCAGACCCTTTGACTTTACTCGTCACTTTGACGAATTGTTGTTTGGGGCTGAGAGTGGCATCATTCACTGACGATGCCAACTTTGTCTGGGAATCTAACATGTCCACACTCTGACGTTGGTAATTAGCAAAAATACAAGATTAGACGACTTCCGACGAGGTGCATACAAATGGTGCGAAGAAAAGTTGGGTTTTGAGGAATCTCTTCTTTCATAATTGTTGAGCTCACTTTCATTTCGAGTGAAAGTGTTGCGTGAAGAGATTCGAGGGTCGGTTCCACCAGAAGACGACCAGCAACGGATTCCTCTTGACCAGCTGTCGATTGGCTTTACAGCAAGATTCATGCTGACGCTGTTTCCGAGGCAA